CCACCGAATTTAAAACTCTTGTTCGACCTTCAAATTACGAGAAAATTATTAGTATACCTTTCAAATAGGTACATTTTATAATTACAATGTTATTTATTTCAAATTGTCATATATACTCTTGTATAGTTAATAGGAGTGTCTATTCATTATAATTTACATTTCAAATTTTTAAAGACTTAATACTAATATATCATTTAACGTATTCTTCAAATTATTAGTATTTATGTTTTTGTATATAGGAGTTGAAGAACCCAATAAAAGATAAAATCAGTATTGAAGAAAAAATAATTTAAGTATAAATTAATTGTGTGTAAAAAATAATTTCCATATTTTAATATATATATATATATATATATATATATAATTAATGCAACATTAATCAAAATGAAACACTAATTAATTATTATATGATATATAAATAAATAAATAAATTTTACAGTAGTATTATTTAATTTTACATGCATGCAATTATTGTATAGAGAACTTATGTGAAAATTATACACATAATGATTATTATTTAAAGAAATAATATTGTATGGAGAAGTTATCTGTTTTATTATACGATAAGATATGTTTATCAAAATATGAGGAGTATTAAAAACAACATCTAAAAATGAGTTTGACAAAATCTAAATGAGTTAAAAAAATTATATATTTTTAAATTATAAATTGTTTATTAAATATTTATTAAATATAAAATAAAATATAAAATATTCACAAATTATATACAAAAATGTTTTTTTTCTCTTATAATAATAATAATCATGAAGTATTTCTTATTTTTTTAAAACTGATTTTTAATCAAATTCAATCTCTTGATCTTGATTAATATAATAATTAACATATGTGTATATACATAATTAATAATTAATTAGAATTTCAAATTATTGGTTACTTAATACTGATTAATATTAATTATAATGATATTATATAATTTTTCATAATTATTAATACTAAAAAAAAGAGATTGCAATTAATTATTGCAATTACAATTTTATAAAAAAATTATTATATTTTAGTTACTATATAATATTTATTTGATTCTGTCAAAAGTTATTAATTTAAGAATAAAAATTCAAAAAATGTGATTTATAAAAATAGAAGAAAAAAAATTAAAGCAATTGAAAATATCTCAACTCTTCTAGTCATATATAATTCTTCTATAAATAAATAAATAAATCATTTTAATACCAATGATATTCATATTGTCTAATATATGTAGTAAAATATGTGTAAGAAAATAATGAGAAGAATGAGAATGAAAGAAAAAAAATATATTTGACACCGAACAAAGTGTATAAGATGATAATTGTATAATAGAGAAAGAAAAATTAAATATTTATTAATAACACAATTAAGTCAATATGGTGAATATATTAACTCATGAAAGTAATAAAATGGTTTTTTGTGGTAAACTTTATATGAAGGAGAAAATATGAAAATAAAATAATATTTAAATCTTGTCTCAGCCATGCTAATGCATGTACTTTTAAGTCATTGCAAAGCTTCCTCAAATCATCCTATTGAATCCACCATTTATAAAGAACACACAAAAAATGAACAAAAAAAATTGATATTACAAATGCAAAAGTAAAAGGTAATAAAAAAACTAACAAAGTAGAGTAGTAGGTGAAACAAAAATAAGAAAAAAAAAAACAAAAAAAGTACATAGAAAATTATCAAATATTGACAAAAGGCTCATAAAATTCATTAAAAAAATCAAAATAAAAACTATAATAAACACATAATTGACATTAAAAATTATTAAAAACATGATGTCGTCTTTAGTTGATATCATTAAATTCATTAAAGGCCAATAATTTAGTTTATAATTTATATAAAATATTTAAATTCTAAAAGGTAAAAGAGTTTTAGAAGATAAGTGAATCTAGATTATGTAATTTTGAGCGAAAAAAATTTCAAAAAAAAAACTATTTTACTAATATATAGATATAGATATAAATCTTAACAAAGATCACTAGTCTAATATTTTAACATTTGGTATCTCATACCTTTTAACTGAAATTTATAATATTAAATGTGAATTAAATAGTAAGAAATGAATATTAGAATAAGAAAAAATATTTTTATCTAAAGGATGCATAACCTCACATGCAATCATTTGAGAACAAAAAATAATCATTTGCATGAAAAAAATAACGGATCAGAAAATATAATCGCACTAGTACACAATATACATTTTACAGCGGTTATTTTAGGGGTTTTTACGTCAGAAAAATGTCCGACGTAGAAGCGGGAGATGTAAATTTACGTCGGGGCACGAAAACTGACGTAAATTTACGTCGGACATGCCAAGGTCCGATGTAAAAAGTCATCAAAAAAAAAAAAAGAAAGAAAACAAGTGCAGCAGAACGACCCGTTCTTCTTGGAGAACGGCCCGTTCTCCAAGCAGAATGACCTGTTCTGCTTGAAGAACGGCCTGTTCTGCTTGAAGTACGACCCGTTCTCCATGGAGTACGGGCCGTTCTGCCAGCAGAACGGGCCGTTCTCCGAGCAGAACAACCCGTTCTACTTGAAATACCCAGAAACGCATTCTCCGAACCCAGACTTCACTTCCTTCTCCTTCTCCATCTTCAAAAACTCGAAACAAACAGAAGAAAAAACATCATTTACGTCATAGAACCTCATAGAAAAACCCAGAAACAAAAAAACACAAACTTGATGGAAGATGCTACCTCATAGAACGTAGATCTCAGAAAGCCCATGACCACGCGAAGAAGAAACAGAAGAAGCAGATGAACGCCATGAAGGAGGAGGCGCAGGAGAAGGAAGAAAAACAGAAGAAGGAGGAGGAGGCGCGGGAGAAGCAAAAAAAGAAGAAGGAGGCGCGGGATGAAGGTGACATTTTGAAATTTAGCTTGTGAGCGGTCATGTTTTAACATGTTATTTACGTCGGCCCTACTTGGGTCCGACGTAAATTTTAACATCTACGTGGTAACAATGCTTAACCGACGTAAATGTTAAAATTTACGTCGGACCCAATTAGGGCCGACGTAAATAATTAAAGAAAATTACGTTTCATGCCACCGCATTTTTATTACGTCGAGTATTTCTATATCCGACGTAAAAGGAGTGACGTAGTATCCTATTTTTCCACTAGTGTCGACTAGCATTTACTTTGCTAAAATCACCGGTTGCTTCACATCTAAACCTTTGGTTTATAGAAAACACAAACATACCTTTAACTGTGAAATTTCATTAATGATTTATAGATATTCATCCAACAAATCTAGCTTGTTTGAAGGGTGTTATGAGAAAATTCTTTGCTTTCTCCTTAAGGCAGCAAAATTCTTGGGAGGAAGCAAATTCATGGGATACATGGCTCAGGTTTTCTTCAAAATGTTCTATCTTGTAAATTCGTACGACCATTCACACATGCACAAAATATAATATTTTCTTTTTATGTTCACGTGGTTGATAAAAACTCATCGTTAGAATGTTTCAAATCATACAATGTATATTATTACTATCAAGTAATTTAAATCAAAATATATACTTATATTATTAGTTCGAATTAGGATGGGTATATGAGTCGACGTCTACAACTAATCCTATTAATAAGTCCATGACCCCAATACATGCAAACCCATTTTTTATTTTTAAATTTGTATGATCATAATGAATTTTTAGTTTGGTTACGAGTTTCATAACTTAATTTGCAAAGTTTATTATAATTTATCTCACACTAAAATTTAGTAGTGTTTCATATTTGTTTTTAAGATATTCAAACTTTAATATTTGATTGATGTATTTAGACTTTTAAATTTTTAAGATATTAAGATTTTGGTATTTTTTTTAGAATGACAAACACTGATATATTATTATTTTGATTTTTTTTATTTAAAATATTTGATGTAGTTACAAATATATTTATATTCATTATATAATTTGATGAGTTAGTATAGTAATTAGACATCATATATTCACATATTGTGGGAACTATTTATATAATGAAAAATTTATATTCAATCTCGCAAAAACTTATTGAATCAATAATAATAAAAAAAATATTATGAACGATATTAGTATTTGACTTAATGGTTGGTGGATACTCATAATAGGACAAAAAAATATTCCTTCTTTTATACATTCTTTTCTTTCTCATGTTTCTATTGCTTGAAAAATAAAAATAAAAACCCTAAATTTGACAAATATTTTTTTTTAATGAAAATCTAGATTTTTATTGGGCTTGCAAATCAACCCTTCTATATGTGGGTTTCGCAAAGCGCACACAAGCCAAAAAAAAATTTGGACCAAATTATTTAAACTTTTAAAAATATAAATTTCTCGGATTCGACCAACCTGTATATTCACCCTAGTTTAAAATATTTAAATCATAAAAAGCATATTATATCGATCACAATTTTCTTAATTGTGAATTGAGAATGATTAAATACTGCCAGTTAATTTGAATCAGAGAATATAATATTATATTATTAATTTGAATATTCAAATCATATAAATTGTATTCATTATAATATCTATAATTATATATTTTATGAATTAAAAATAAAATAGAAAATTTCAATAGCATTTTAAAGGGAAAAGAATCGAGTGATGTTATCACGCTGCATGCATGACAAATTATATAAAAAAAAATCATTTATAATATAAAATAGATAGATTTCGTTAAAAAATTTAGAGTGCACTATTCATGAAAAAATGTTCCCTATTTCACTAACACCGTGTTTTCTTATTCCTAAAACTAAAATATCGCTTGCGAATTATTATTATTTTTATTCATATATTAATATATTACTTGTTACCTAATTGATTTACAAATTTATCGTCACTTTTAATTTACAGAGTATGATTCACATCCATAACAATATATATTTATTTTAACTACTAATTGTGTTAATCTTGTAATTTTCATAATTTTAAAATACGCTCAATAACATTAATAATATCAGCAGGAGGAGAAAAAAAAAAGCTAAAAGAAAAAAAAAATGTGCGGATTTATCTTTATCTCAACACAACATCATAGTTCTGCTAGTGGGTGGGGGACTATGGCTCTTAGATTTTTCTGCACTTCAAATATCTCAACACAACATCATCGTTCTGCTAAAACTCTTGTTTCCTCTTCTCTCTCTCTAACTAACTCATGTATGTGGAATTCCACTCCTGCAAGAAACAGTAAGAACAAGTGTGCTACTGCTGAGAACGTTAAGAGTCTCGTGCTTCCTTCCATTTCATCTACTCCACTTGAGTCTCTCCACAGAGGCAACTGGGTCAAGCTCATTTGTGGTGCAAGCTTTGAGGTATGCAGACTCAAAAGCTTGTTAACTTGTATCTTCCTTTCACTTTCTAATACTCATAATAAATAACACACTCTATTTGTGTAGGATGTTGTTGATATCAGAAATCTCAGTCTGGTTTACACTCTTGCTGGAGGTAAGGACTTCTATTATTAGTTTTTTTTTAGGGAGTAATAAAACATAAAATACATGCATGAGCATGATAATCAGCATGCTTTGGTCTTTTTTTTTATTATTATTTTTTTTATGGACAATTAAAGCTTCTTTGTGTATTACCTTGCCTTAGTGTAAATCACTCGAGTCTCAGCCAAAATTATGCCTAGCTATTGGGTTTTCATTGTGGACAAAAATTAGATGCAATTCCTTATGTGTTTTCGATGTTATTTTTCGATCAGAATTAGTTTCATTTCATCTGGGTATCACAAGAGTCACCAGAGTGAAACTCTAATTCTGATTGAAAAATAATACCGAAAGTACCTAAGGAGTTGCATACTTGCATATAATATTTGTCCTCTCATTGTTTCAGTTATGCAAACTTGATCTTATAAGGAACTGATTGACTCAGCAAGGGAAATCGTGTAATTTAAATTGGATTTTATGGTTGCAGTTGACTGCATTGACTGTGCTGCTGATGCATCGGTTGTTAGTGCTGTGAATGAAGGAATTGAAGCTGCAAGAAATATGGTATCTCTTAGAAGGCCGTGGGTGATGATAAGTGTCAATGATGATAAAGATCTTCATTTTCGAAAGGCTGGTAAGTTCTAATTGGGCTTAATTGAGTACATTATATGTCACCATGAGCCTAGGTCGGAAATCTTGTGTTGTGATATAGTTTGATACTTTGATATGCAAATGTAGTCTCCTTTTTTCATGTTGCGTGGAGGTCATCATAGTGTGTGAATTTATGAGTTATCATGATTGATTTATAATAGTTTTACATTTAGAACTTTTGGAGGGTGGTCGTCACACTCATTTTGTTAGAGCAAATAATCTTCTATTGTTGTAACCCAGTCCATATATGCAGAACATAGTTTACATATTTGAGTTTGAGTACTTCTAGTTCTAATGTATAATTTGACTGATTGGTTGTTCCTTTAATCGAAACTATGTTAGTCTTTTCAAAATTAGCCTCTTAATGTGGAATAGATCATGATCCAGAAAGGTTAGAAATGGAACATATGATATCCAATTTTAGGACTTGAATATGAGTCAAAAAATTCCCATGTTGAAGATGTCTACTTAGCATGTACTTGTACTCCTTGTAAAATTTGTAATTTTGACCATATGGCTATGAGCATGCAGGATTTATACTAAAAACAGAACATGGACTAATGACATTATTCCTCGTATGCCGGGTTTTTTCTTTTGCATTTCCCATATTGTTCCATGGAGACAATGGCTGTCGTAGGTGGAATGCCATGCCACTATGAAAGCATTGCCATTTTTATGATCATCATGTTAAAAGTTTTACTCAAATGACGAAGATTCCATATGATACATCTGGTTTAATAACTAATTTTAATATATATATATATA